GGGCCCCTGGGGAAGAGGCGCTCGCCCAGGTCCTTACTTTCCGTCCAGGAAGTCCATCAGGGGCCTCAGGACGTTGTCTGCATCTTGGGCCGCGGTGTTGGAGCCGCTGTTCCCCTTCACCTGCCCCAGGATCTCCGACATCTGCTTCACGCACTCCTCAATGCGGGGCTGGAAACTGAGCACCAGAGGGCAACGTCACTCCCCCCCGGGGCGGCTTTGGGCCGGGCCCGTCTCCCCAGGACAGGACGGGCTCTCCCCGTGGCCCCCCCCCTCCTCCTAGGGGGCTGAGTCTCCTGCCAGGCCAAGGCTCGGGAGACCACGAGTCCAGAAGAGCCCCTGGGGGGCAGCCGCCTTCCTTCTGGGCCAGACTCCAGGACGGCGCCTTGGACAGCTTGCAATAAGCCCCCCTCGACCCCCGCCGGAGTCTTGTGGGGGGGGGAGAACATCCCTTCGGATGGAGCTTTCCTGCTCCCAGCCCCCCACCCTCAGTGGAACCCCGGCTGATCACTAGTGGTGGCTCAGTGGCCAAGACCCCGAATCGGAGGCCGTTACAGGCCTGCAGGTCGACCGTTTGAGACCAGGGGCTGCAGGAGGGAGGGAGCTACCCTCGCCGGGCAGCTCGAAGCCCCGACATGCCGGGAGATCAACGCAGGCGCTGCCTCTAAGCGCACAGGAAGGCAGCCGTGCTTCACTCCAAGCAGCCGGGTGCCATGTTGGCCCCGCGCCAACGCTGGGCCCCTGGCTTACGGAAAGGAGACGAGTCACAACCGGCCGGGTGAAACCCGCAGGGGCCCCTTCGCCTCCCTCCTCCTGCTCAGCCGGCGACAAAGTCCAGCCCTCAGGAGTCTAGTGTCCTTTGTGCTCCGAGCGCCGAGGGCGGATCAGTGCTCCCCGAGTTCTCCTTTCGGGGCCCGGCTTCCCTTCAGGCGGAGGGAGGGGCCTCGGGGGGGGGGCTCCCCACCTGTTTCCAAAGGTGGTGCTGAGCTCGTCCAGCACGTTGTTCAGCTTCACCTGCAGCTCCTTCAGGGAGTCGCTGGCCTCGGGGTCCAGCTGCAAAGAGGGGAAGGTTGAGCTGGGGACCGGGGGACCGGCCTCCGTGGGCCCCGGGCCAAGCTGTGGGGCAGGAGGACCCGCTCCCTCATTGGGGCCTGGGGCCACTAGGAGTGGAGAGGCCGGAGAACCCTCCTCCGATGCTGCCCTCGGACAAGGAGCCCAGGCAAGGCTGGGCGTGGGGGGTGTCAGAGTTCGGCCCGTACCGATGATGCCCCCAACTCTGCTCTGAAAAGGGTGACCCCCCCAGCCCCCCCCATCCTCAGAGTAGGGCTGGCCAGCCCCCCCCTCCAGCCCCCCCTTCCCCAAGCTGGAGCCCCACAAAGGGCCTGGGTCTTCCGTACCGCCCGGAGGATGGGAGGGGGCTTGCGAGACACCAGAGCCAGGACTGGATGGTGACATTTCTGCAGAATGTGGGCGGCTGGCTTGGGCCCACCTGGGCGGCCACCGAGCGCTGGGGCCTTGCTGTGTGAAGGGGGCCTTGGCAGCCGGGCAGGGCCAGGGATCCACTGCCCAAAATCTGAGGAGGGCGGGGGGGGGGAGGCGGCCATGCTGGGGCTTCGTTCCACTGCTTGGACTGGGGGAGACCTCCCTGCCCAGGAGCAAGCAGGCACCGGGGGGGCCTTACTGAGTGCCTAGACCCGGGGAGAGCCCAGCTCCTGGCACCCTCCCAAGGCCAGGCACTGCCAGCTCCCGGCTGCTCGAGACCCCTTGGCAGGGACCCTGCGGGAGGGAGAGTGGGAGGGCTGGACTCTCACAGGCCCTCAGGCTGGGCGGCGACCCTCACGGGGCAAGGAGGCCACTGCCGCAACCACCCACAGATCTAGGCGGGAGCTGCCCCCATTTTCCCTCCCCAAAGGAGGGGGGAGCAGAAGAGGCCGGGTCGGAAGGGAAGCTCCACCCCTTGCCCAGTACTGGAGGGGGGGCGGGCGGAGGGCTCCGTCCGGCCACAAAAAACCGGCCACCCAAGCGCCGGCCAATGTGGCGGCCAGGGAAGCGGAGGGACAGGCGCATGGCTTGCAGGCGCACTGAGCCCCAGCCCTGCCCGCCTCGTGCCCCTTCCGCAGCCCTGGCCTTGGGAGAAGGCTGCCCAACTGGGTCTCCACGCGGAAGGCCGCATAAGGAGCCCGCGAAGGGACCCCAGGGGCCACGCAGACTCTGCCCCCTCTTCCTCCCTCCCACCCGCAGAGTTTTTATCTCGGCCCCCCGAGCAGAAAGACGCAAGTTGTGCGCCTGCCCATCAGCCTCCCTGCCTGCACAAGCCCTGCCGTTCCCTGGGCGGGAGGGGTTCTCCCTGGGGGTCTTCTGACTGCGGGCGGGGCAGGGGGTCCTGGACCAAGGGGCCCAGGTGGCTCCGTGCCCAAGGCAGGGTGTTTGGATGGCCTTCCGTGTGCCTCATCCATGCAGTCCTGGCCTCCTTCTCCTGCTGCCTGGTGGCTACCACCGTCGTTATGCAGCCCTTCCTCGAGATGTCAGGGCCCGTGCCAGCCTGAGCCTGCCCCAGCGGAGGGGGGCTCCAGGGCTGCGCTCAGGGCCACCCCAGGAGGCTGCGAAAGCTCCCCCCACAGCCCAGCCGGGCGAGGAGCTCCGAGGAAGGACAGCCGCGTGTCCCCTCCGGCCAACGTGGCAGCCAAGACGGCCCCCTGTGAGGACTTCTCAGCCCCCGCCCCCCCCGGCCTGGCCCGGGACTCACCTCTTTGGCCCCCATGGCCTCGAACATCTTCTCCAGCTGCACCCTCAGCTGCTGGATGTTGTTCATCAGGATGCAGGGCTGAGGGAGGGAGGGAGAAGGCCGCCCCATTGGTTCCACGGAGGAGCAGGAGGAGGAGGAGGAGCAGGGGGGAGCGCCAGAGTCCAGGCTCCCTCCTGCAGGCAGCCAGCAGCCGCCATCCTTCCCCAGGGCCACCTGGAGCAGCCGAGGAGCCCGACCCAAATGACCCACTTCTCCCCCCTTGGCCCCCGGGGATGGCGGCTCTTGATCCAAGCCGGGGCGACCGGACTGGAGCCCTGGGAGCCCACCCATGCCAGGCGCCCCCCACGGCCCTCGGGGCGAGAGCCTCCTCCCCAGGACTTCCCGCACGTCTGATGATGGGGAGCTCCAACCCTAAGCCGCCCCCCCCCCTTAGCGCTGAGACCCATTTACTTTTCCTGCCCCCCAGGACCCCACTCCACGGGGGACCCCTGGATCCAGCATTTTGGGAGAGGGAGAGGAACCGCCGGCTCTGGGCAGTCCTGGCCGGTCCTTCCTCCTCCGCCTCCTTCCTTGGCCAGAAAGCCCCCAGCACCCCACCCCGCTTCCTCCTAGGGAAGCTGCTGTGGCCCCGGGACCCCCGGGACGGCCCTCTTGGCTTCGCCCTGCCCACCTCCCTGCCAGCTCTGGCCACTGCTTGCCATGCAGCTGGTGCCAAGGCAGGTTGCCCGCATCCCGGCCGAGGGGCAGCCCCTTCCCCGGGCGGGGGGGGGGTGCCTGGGCCCAGTCAGGCCCCGCGGGGACTTACCACCTTCTCCTTGGAGCAGAAGCTCTGGAAGTTCTTGGAGACAATGTCTGCGTACTGCACCAGCACCTTCCCGATGGTCTGCAAGAGGAGCAGAGACCTCAGTCCACCCTCCCTGGCCCAGAGGACGGCCTTTGGGGGGCGGAGATGGGTGCGGTGAGGGTACCTTGGAAAAGCGCCGCATGTAGCGAGCGACAATGGCCGGGTCGGGGCATTCCAGCTTCTTGATGATCTCAAAGCTCTGGTTGAGCTGGGTGAAGACATCAACCACCGAGCAGGAGAAGAGCGCGTGCTCCGAGGGCTGCTGGAACTGAAGGGAGAGGGGGGGGGAGGGAGAGGGAGAGGGAGAGAGAGAGAGGAAGGGAGAGGGAGAGAGGGAGAGAGAGAGAGAGAGCAGCAGTCACACCTTCTGGGGGAATCTACCCAGCTGGCCAACCTGGGTGAACTGGGCTCACACGGCCCCCCGAGAGGCTCCCACCTAGCCAGGCCTGCTGTGGGGATCAGGCCCTGAGCTCCAGCCAAGAAGGGGGCTTGGAGGACGTCAAGGGACGAACCCGACCGGGCCTGAGCGGCTCCCCCGCCAGAACTGGCCAGAATGTCGGTCCTTCAGCTCCGCCAGTGAAAGCCCCCCGTGGCCCTCAGGCGACCCAGGTGCTCCTGGGCCAAGGGGCCCCCGGGGCTCCCCCTCCTTCTCCCAGGCAGCCGGGACCCCCGCCTACCCCGTCCTTCTTGTCCCGCTCCAGAGCTCCGTGCAGGAATTCCAGCGAGACGTCTTCGTTCTCCTCCAGCCACTGCATCACGAAGGGCTCGAACCACCTGCAGGGGGGGGTGTGGGGGACACACACACACACGGGACGGACGCCCCCGCCTGAGCAATTCTGCCCTCGGCCCAGGCGCCTTCTCGGGGAGCCAGCCCAAAGGAGGGGAACCCCAAGCCCCACATCGCCCCCCCCCCCCCCCCCCCCCTCCCCAGGGATCCTCCCTCCCCCTCCACTACCCCCGTCCTCCTCCTCCTCTGCTTCCTCCCCCCGTCACGTGACCGAGATTTAGGAGGGTTTGACTTCAAAAAAGGCCGTATAAATTGGGCATATTTATGCAGCCGTCACTGTTTACGTGGTCGCTATTTACGACTGAAACAACATCAGTCGTAAGTCAAGGACTGCCTGTAACTAAAGCCCCTCCCCTCCCCCCAGGGTCTCAGGCCCGCCAGGCGTTTCCGTCCACTGACCCTCCGCCAAGGGCAGAAACGGCCACGTGCCAGGCTGGGGGGGGGGGCAGGAGTGGCCGGCCTCTCTCTGCCCCCCTGAACCCCCGCACAAACAGCCCCCCCGCCCCAGCCGGCCTCAGGTGGGCCGGGGCCCTTCAGGCAAGGAAAGGGGAGGCGTCTGTTCGGGCAGGTGCC